TACCTAACCGCTTATATTTATATTAAAAAGTAGTTTATATATATATATCAGTCATAGTACACCTCACCACTTAGTGCCCCAGCACTACTCTGGAAGGTTCACATAAAATACAGAAACAAATAGTTTGGATGATAAAACCATAAACAAGAATAATAAATACTGATTTCCACTTCTTGTGGATAAATCAGTAAGAATAGTTTTAAAAATATATTCTTTCCTATTACTGAAATGCTCTCACATTCCTCAATACATCTGGGACAGTTCTTTGCATTAGACCAGTGGTTCCCAATCTTGGGTCCCCAGAAGTTCTTGGACAACTCCCAGAAATCCTGGCCAGTACAGCTAGTGGTGAAGGCATCCGGGAGTATTAGTCCAATAACATCTGGGAGCCCAAGGTTGGGAACTACTGCCTTAGACCATCATAATTCCCTAGCAATGCCTTTTATTTAACCCTTTCTATGGCTGACAGCACATTTTGCCCACATGAAGATAAATTAACTGTTGATCAAAGATACAGAGTAAAGCTTCAATGAAATACTACTAATATCTTGCATTGTACTCTAAACTACAAGACAACTTACCATTTGGAAATTGTGCAGATGCAAATCTTGTTAATAAAATACCTGCCCCTTCAATTAAAGCTAGAAGAATTCCTCCCATAGCAGCTGATCCAACCATGGCAACTGGCCCATCTGAAAAAAGTGGAGCAGGAAAAAGATGGATTAAAAACTTTTTTACCAACTACAACTGCTGGCAATGTCAAATACATGTTTAACAGTTACAAATATTCAGAGTTTGAGAATGTAGAAGAGTCTAGTAAAAAATACTAGAAAGAAACAATGTGAATGTTTTATTGAATAGCAGGCATTCTATGGATCTGTTCCTAAGTGAATTTACAAACATAAATATCCTCCTGGGGCTAAAGTGATGATTGATTTCCTAACATTCTTATGCCTGATAAAGATCGAATTGTATTATATTCATATTGTGGTCTAAATATTAGCATATTCATAAAGTACAAAAGCACTGTCAGAAACATTGACATATGATTTTCTTACATTTTCATAATTTGACAAACATGAACAAATAATTTAATGACTTTATAAAAAGAAGTATTCCCTTTAAACTTAAAAGTTCTTACTTCTTGCAGCTAATATGGCACCAGTCAGGGCCCCACTAGTGATAGAATTCCAAGGATCCTCTTTTCCTCTTGTTTTCACCATACCACAATCAATCATGGAGAACAGACCACCCCAGACAGCAAAGCTTCCTATTTAAAAGAAGAATGTTATTCAGAAAGGGAGGCAGAAGATTATTCAGAATTCAAGACTGGTAGTTTTCTTATTTTCAAAACAGGAGTTGTGAGGATTATGATTCTAGCAGAAAGAGAAGTTAGAAAATTCATGTAGAAGTCACAGAAAAAGCAGAAGCAATCATTACAAAAAAAAGTCAAAGGCAAAGCCATTACATCACACTGTGATTAATTTTACTTTATTAATTGGTTTGTCCCATGCAGAAGTCTTAATTATAGCAATTTATCCATTAAAAGCCACAAGCACGTTTCCTCTTGTGGGCTGCATCACCTTGGAGGCCAATTGTGAGGGGCTACATTCTGGGATTGCATTCAGGGGACACCCACTTTTCTTTTCTTTTTGAGATCAACATTGTTTAACACTGTTTCTGTCTTTTAAGAATATCTTATTAGGGATGGGACTTTTGTACTTCAATGAAAGGAAAAAAAACATGAAAGAGGTAATTTCTACCATTTTCATGTCTGTTTGCTGATTTCCAAAACAGAACCTCAGTCTAAAGCACAAATGATTCATATTAATGAAGAGCAGAACAAAAGAGGATGATGTTCTTTCATGTTTCCCTCTTCCATTTAACATTTCTTTCACCTTCTGTCAAATCACCAAGGCAATATTTCTTCTAAAAATATCACAAGGGCTGCTGCTAGCAGCCCATGAGAATGTTAGGCAGAGCAGGAATTGGTTAGATCTTCACCTGGAAAAACAACACTGAAGGCTGGATGAAATATTGCCTGATTACACACTCCTGACCTAAAGCTAAATAAAACCACATCAACTGGAGCCAAATAATGTTAATTTTCCTCTGCCTGCCTGTGTCCTGTTTCTTCCCAAAGGTGGCAGAAGACACAGGGAGCAGCAGATACCCTATGTTGTCTTTATTTACCTCCATCATTCCACCTTGTCTTGCTAGCAGCCTATCCTCCAAAAAAAATTGACATCTGACCTGATTTTTTTGCCTCCTTGTCTGCCTTCAAACTTTGTATTGTTTATGCCTGATGGAGACTTTCAGAGACTTCAAAAGCTCACATTGTCTTTAAATTTTTAGTGATCTCATAAAGATTTTACTCAGTTCAGCATTTTTTTTTCCTTCTCTCCCTCTCCTGCAGTTCTTCCCACGCTGCAAACAAGCTTTCAAAATAGTTGGTAATAATGTATTCTCAAAGGCTTTCACGGCTGGGCTCTTTGGCCATGTTCTGAAAGTTGTTCTTCCTAACGTTTCGCCAGTCTCTGTGGCTGGCATCTTCAGAGGACAGGAGTCAGAACTCTGTCTGTGCTCTGGTAATAGTCTTGCTCATTTTGAGAAAATCAGCAAGCAGTTATTCCCTCTCATTACAATTCTGCACACATTGTTAAAATATGTGCAGTCTTCATAGAAACGCATAGAATTTAAACACATCAGGTATGCAGCTTTCATTTATTTCATACAGAAATGTATAAATCAATGTAAGCTTAATATTGTATTGTATTAATATTAATATTGTATTAGCCTCATCTATCAGGTTCCAGGCTATGGAACAATATATTTCATGAAGGTAACACAACAAAACTGGAGTGACCATTAAGATTAGGTCCACATAGCTGTAAAAGTACAAGAAATAGGAAATAATAAGAACTAGTTCTACGAATAGTACTCCTCTATTATTTTCATTTAACAGTAGTTATGTATTGAAAGTTAAATCCCATTAGAATTTTGGACAGTTTTTTCTTGGAAGAGAGTAGGAAAGGAAAATGTGCAAACATTGCATTTACCTCCCAGCTGTGGTGCCCTGGTTTTAATAGCTGTTAGACTACCTCGCAACCGATAATTCATACCCTGCAATAGACAAAAGTACACTATTTAAGCAATGCTAGTCGTTTTCATCAATTTTATTTACAGTACAGTGGTGCCTCGCATAGCGACGATAATTGGTGCAGCAAAAATCGCTGCAAAGCGATTTCGTTGCTATGCGATTTTTAAAAGCCCCATAGGAATGCACTGAAACCCCTTCAATGTGTTCCTATGGGCTTCAGACTCACCTTTAAACGAAAATCCTCCATACGGCGGCCATTTTCGCTGCCCGGTAATCGAGGAATCCGTACCAGAAAACAGCGGGCAGCCATTTTTTTTACCCGGTGGCCATTTTGGAACCGCCGATCAGCTGTTAAAAAACATCGCACTGCGATCGCAAAATCTTCGTTGCTATGCGATTTCATTGTTAAACGGGGCACCCGTTAAGCGAGGCACCACTGTATTTATTTATTTTATTTTATTTATACCCAGCCTATCTGGTCATTACAACCACTCTAGGCAGCTATCCACATACTGTATGAATCCACATACTGTTCAAAGAACATAAAGTAGGACCCTCATATCCGCTGGGGACTGGTTCCAAGCCCCCCCCTCTAGCTATCCACATACTGTATGAATCCACATAGTGTACAAAGAATATAAAGTAGGACCCTCATATCTGCTGGGGACTGGTTCCAAGCCCCCTCCCCCGGGAACACTGAAAACCATGGATAATAGTAAACACTATATATATATATATAGCATGGTAAAGGGGGGGGGCAGAAAAAAATATTTTCACATGCATTACCAGAACTGGTGCGTTCTTCATTAACGAGTACTCATGGCACAGTCTCTGGCTTCCTCTGATCGCCAGTTCTGGTGATACATGTGGGGGGGAAATCAAGAAATGCTCTGGCTTCCTCTAATGGCCAGTTCTGGTGATACATGTGGGGGGAAAATCTAGAAATGTTTCTTTTAATACTTTTAATATTTTCAGATTGTGGATAAGTGAATCAGTGGATATTGATCCTGTGGATAGGGGGTCCTACTGTATTTAGCCTAATCTACACTGCTGAAACTGAGATTCTCTGTGTTAGCTCACTAGCCCTCCCAAACTTTCACAAACTACTTGGGTAAGGGAACGTAAGTATTATGTGGCACTGAATTTACAATGTCTGAAGAATCTTATGTTTGCAACATGCAATATAGCAAGTATAGGAAGCTGTCCAAGCTAGGAAAAGTACACAAAAAAAGAATATGAATAATTACTGCAGTTCAGTTTGTGCCCAGTCCTCAGGTCATCACAAAGTACAAAATTCATAGACAGCTGGATGTCTACACAAAGAAACATGAGAATAAACAGAACCAACACTTTAAATCAAATCACTCAAACAAGGAAGAGCATATTTCTAGAAAACTTAACTTCTAGTCTAAGTTACTACAGATAGGAAGCATGCAAGTTGCATAATTACATGTCCATCTTCGCCATGCAATAATGGAATTCCAGTTTAACTCATATTCCTTCTTCCATAAATCTCTAAATTCTGACTCAGACATTTTACCCTCAATAGACTGTAAAGAGGACAATAAACAATGAAACACATGAAATCTTCAATTTGTCTTTGCTCAGAAGAGCAGGTACTTTTTAGATAGGACCTATTCCCAAATCTTCCTTCCAGCATACAGAAGGCATCACATTCAGATTCTTTTCGAAGGCTACAATAGCATTTCTGTCATAGATAGTCAGAGATTCAACAACAACAAATTCATAGCTCTCACTGGAATTGTTTTTTTAAAATAAACAGAAAAGGAAGACTACAGCATTTTGGAATTTTCTACATATTTTACTTCTGTTTGATAAAAATTTGCACTTAGCTATTTTATCATTTTGGCTAAATTTCTGTTGCTTAGTGTGGTAAATCGCACTGAAGTCAACCAACTGAATCAGGTATTTGGTGAATAAGTTCCATTAAATCAAATAGACCTATGTTAGCTGTAATGTATTTTATGCATAGCAACAAAATTTCAGCCTTTTTTTTGGGGGGGGGGGAAACACTTCACAGCAAATTGGGACTTTTGAAAAAGTTACCTGCATTATGTTATTTATCCTTTGAGCTAAAATTAAATGTTTTTGACATCTATAATTTGTTGTGATGGTGTTTCCACACCAAATTGCTACAATATACAAAGGAATTCTGTCACCTTGATAGAAGTATCTCCATTAAATGAACTATATGACGTTTTCTTTCTTCTCAATACTTCTAACAATGGGGGAGGAAAAACCTATCTATAAAAAATAATTTTAACTCACCACTGGAGAATTTCTGAATCCTTTGACTGCTTGAAATATGCCACCACCAATGGCTCCCATTGTGAAGGCCCCACCGCAGTCATCCACTATTCTCCATGGGCTGAAAGAAAGCAAGCATTGTTAACAAGTTCAACCTTGCAAATATTCCATGACAGTGAACAAAATGTTTACTTTCTATTTCCCAGACTGGTTTTCTTCCCTGTTATGTGCTGTATTCAAAGAGCCAATTTAAGTGTCCCTGAGCTTTTCCACAGCTACTTTGAATTTTCGGTGGCATTTACTCCTACATTGCTGGTGCAGGAATGTAAGCTATCTCCCTATAACGATCTTGCTAAATAGGGATGTCCTAACTGAAAACTTCCCTCTCTCGCAGGTAGCTGTGTTCTTTTTGCAGCCAGTGCTGACTTAATACCGGACAAGACAAAGGTCTTGAGGGTGGGTGGCCCTTCCATTAGTGGTACAGGTGACTCCCTTTTTTTGGGGGGGGGACAATCTTTGCCGCAAAGAGTCCGCTCCACAGCTTGGGGATACATCTGGACCCGGCGCTTACCATGGAGACCCAGGTGGCGTCCTTGGTCCGCTCCACCTATTTTCATCTATGGCAGATTGCCCAGGTGTGACCATATCTTGATAGGGGGGCCCCTCAGTACTCTAGTCCACGCGCTCATAATCTCAAGGTTAGACCATTGTAAGGCACTCTATGTGGGGCTGCCTTGGAGGTTGATGTGGAAACTTCAGGGCGTCCAGAATGTGGCAGCCAGGCTTCTTAGTGGGGTGAGAAAATATCAGCATATCTTCCCCACTCTGGCCGCCCTGCACTGGTTGCCCATCCGTTTCCGCATTGACTTCAAAGTGTTAATGATTACATATAAAGCCCTAAATGGTTTGGGACCTCAATATTTGGCAGATCATCTGCTTCCACCTAGATCTACCCGAATCACCCGATATAGCCAGCAGGGATGGCTGAGGGGCCTGACGCAGAGGGAAGCCCAGAAGGAAAAAAACAAGAAACAAGAATTAATTGTTAGAATTGAAATTTTTTATGATTTTATATATGTTATATTGATGTGCTTTTATCTATGTAAGCCGCCCCGAGTAGACATTGTCTAGAGGGGCAGGGTAAAAATCAATCAATCAATCAAATAAATAAATAAATAGAAGTAGCTCTAAAGTAACAGAACTGGATCAATCAATCAATCAATCAAATAAATAAGTAGCTCTAAAGTAACAGAACTGAGATTTATATAACATAGGCATTAGTATTTTTTTTCCAACAGCGACATCAGCCACTTCAAGACATATCGTTTTTATTATTCAGGAAAGAAGAAAAACAGAGTAAGAAGTTCACTAAAGTGTGAAAATCCCTTGCTACAGATGCCTCATTAAACTTATACAGTACTATAAACAGACTGGGAACAGATTTATGTCTCTTTTTCCATCATACCTTTTAAATCATTGCATAATGTTTTTAAAATATAAAACATGCACTAGACAAAAGTGACTTTCTAGAATTGTTTGAAGTTTTGGATGAATTTATTTTCAATCTCAAATTCCTGAAGGAGAATACTGAACCGACTCTTATGCAATGAACCCACTCTTATGCAATGAACTCACTCTTATGCAATGTGCTTTCTGCTTGTGGCATCCACCACAATAATAAAGCAGCAGTACATAATTAAGCTCCCTTCGAGTAAAGCCAATGTTTTAAGCGATTCTAGGTATGTACTTGCTGAAGAATCACGAAGGGCAATTGTTGCTGAATGAAATCCATCTGCCTCCTTCAGCATCCTCTGCCAGAAGCCCCAGCAACTATGGTTAAGAGAGGGAGCCAGAGACTGCGGCTAGTACAGTAGTTGGTGCTCTATTGTGGAGCTATCTTCTATCATCTCAAACGGCACACACGCCAGGGTCACCAAATCAAAATTAAGGGGCGCCTCCAGGCACTTCTAAGGCATCAGAAAGGCGCCCAGGGTCCACAGAGAAACGCCTCCTCTTTGAGGCGGGACGCCAAAGGCCTGCCCGTCCCCTAGCGAGGGCTCAAGCCCTCCTCTGTCTTTCTTGGAGGTCCTTCCACCCTCCGCAAGGAAACCGTCCCCAGGGAGAGACGTCCCGCTCTTCCAGTCCGGAGGAGGCCATCCTGAGACGGCGAGTCTTGTACGGCGCATCTCACGCCCTCGACCACCAAGGTCAGCGCTGGCCCCAGGTCGAGACAGGAGGCATGGGGAGAAGGGACCCTCGATCCGAGGTCCGCTCCTTGCCCCCCCCCCGCCACACACACACACTGCAGATCGAGGCCGCCATCTCTAAGCTCTTCTCCCGGACGTGCAAGAAGCAGCAGGAGACCCAAGTAGAGCTAGTTACTCACCAAGGTTCACGCGCGTACTCCTCCATCTTGAATCCCGGCTTCCACCCGCTAAGGCGACGTGCTCTCTCAACCGGCTACCGGCATGAAAACCACCTGACCTGTTGCCCTTACCCAGTGAGGCTCTGATTGGTCGCCGAAGGCGAAGGGGCAGGGCTCGAGGAGAAGATCCGGTTGCATAGATACAAAAATGGTAGATGTACAACGTCGACGGAACTCTTTGGAAAATGGAGAGGCGTTGCTGCTACATCTGAAGTGTAGCATTCTGTATTTGGAAGTGGAAAGTCGTGTAGAAAACTGCATCAGTTCTAAGCCAGAAGTACCAGTAACAATGAGTCCGGCGTCATTCTTTTTAATATAAATTAAGTTATAAAACTCTTTTCCTGATGTTGGGCAAGAGTGAAGGCAAGAGGAGAAGGGTTGGACAGAGGATGAGATGGTTGGACAGTGTCATCGAAGCTACCAAGATGAATTTGACCAAACTCCAGGAGGAGGCAGTGGAAGACAGGAGGGCCTGGAGTGTTTTGGTCCATGGGGTCACGAAGAGTCGGACACAACAACTAAACAACAATAAGTTATAAAACTAGGAATCTCAACGAGTGAAGGCAAGAGGAGAAGGGTTGGACAGAGGATGAGATGGTTGGACAGTGTCATCGAAGCTACCAAGATGAATTTGACCAAACTCCAGGAGGAGGCAGTGGAAGACAGGAGGGCCTGGAGTGTTTTGGTCCATGGGGTCACGAAGAGTCGGACACAACAACTAAACAACAATAAGTTATAAAACTAGGAATCTCAACGAAAAAGAAGGACACAACTTAACAACTAAACAACAAGTTATAAAACTAGGAATCTCAAAGAAAAAGAATAGGTGAATTCTGAAGATTAACATTCTATAGGAAAAAATTTGATTTGTTTGAAATGTGGTGGAAGAGAGCTTTTGAATACCCTGGACTGCCAGAAAGACCAAAACGGAGGTCCTAGATGAAATCAAGCTTGAACTATCTCTAGAGTCAAAAATGTTGAAGCTGAGATCGCCCTGCTTTGGGCACATCATGAGAAGCCAAGAGTCTCTGGAAAAGACAATAATGCTGGGAAAGGTTGAAGGCAGCAGGAAAAGAGGAAGAATAAATATGAGATGGTTTGACTCCCTAAAGGAATCCACAGGCTTCAGTTTGTAAAAGCTGAGGACAGGGCATTTTGGAGACCACTCATTAATAGGGTCACCATAAATTGGGGAAATATCTTGACGGCACACAACAACAACATAAAGATGGGATGCCCAGTGTTGTATAGTGGCTGGATTAGTGTATACTGTATGTGCAGCTACCTTTGGAAAGGGTTCAGCAACTTCAGATCCAAAAGGCTACAGCTACAGGGATCACATGACACTTCTGTTACAGCAGCACCACTGGCTTCCAGTCTGTTTCTGGGCACAATTCAAAGTGCTGGTTCTAACCTATAAAGCCTGAAACAGCTTGGATCCAAGCTATCTCGAATATAGTGTTTCCTTTATGAACCTGCCCAGGTGTTAAGATATTCAGGAAAGGCCTTTCTCTTGGTTCCACCACTTTCAGAAGTGCATTTGGTGGGTACATGGGGGAGAGCCTTCTCTGTTGTTGCATGCAGACACTGGCACTCCCTTCCATAAGAGGTCAGGCTGGCCCCATCTTTGCTGTCCTTCCTCAAGCAGAAGAAGATCTTTTTCTCCAGACAGGCTTTCCCTTAGTGATTGGCTTTCTGAGGGCAGTTTTTAAATGGAGTGTTGTACCTTCCTATTTTGAATCTGTTTTTGGTGTTGATTTCATTTATCATTTACCTTGGGTCGTTTTTAAGGAGAAAGGTGGGGTAAAAATATTTTACACAATCAAATAAAATAGTGTAATAAGTTGGAGTCAGCTTGACCAGACATAACAACAATGCCATGTGCAGTGGTGTTTCAAGAACAGGGCTGTAAAAATTCCAATGCTTACTGCAGAGACACTAGTGACTCAGCCTCAAGAAAACCTGGATTGTCTCTCACAGACATGTATAATCAATCATTGTTTGGACTTTTGTTTACAATTTAGTGATTTAATCCACTAAAGCTTGCTACTTGATTGGTTTTTCAATGTTTCAATAAAAGGTATGGGTTACTCTTACATTTATGCAATACTAGAGACTGCCAGCAGATGGTGTGCATAATTTGTAGATATAGTTTTAGAAGAGGTAGCCATGTTAGTGTATGCAAGCATATCAGGCAAAATCCAAAGAAACAACCTCCCCCCGAAAGACAAAAAAAGGTGGCACCTTAAAGACTAACGATTATATTTTAAAGTGAGCATTCATGGACAAATCCAGTTTGTAAAACAGATGTCTTTAAGGTGCCACGTGGTTTTGTTTTTCATTTGGATTTTGCAACATTTGTAGAGTTAATTTTCAAGAGATGGGGAGGTGTACATTTGTATGGGGAAAATAAGGTCCATATTTAACCTTTGTCATAAGACTTGAGTACTAAAAGGAAATTCCTAGATCTGAAATGTTTGGATTGCTCTTTTTAATGAGACCAGTGCTATTGTTCATAGGTATTGTATCCTTCCTATAAAAATGAAATAAGTTTTCTCAACCACACTTTTCAATGTAAATTAGTATCTTTTGCTATGTACCCCCAGTATCATATGGGTACAGAAGAAGGGTGTTGGAGTGTGATCCTACATAAATCACTCAAGCTTGTGGGAGAGAATCTGGCTTGCACACACTTAAAATGACCCCACTACTGATGTAAACATTAAGTAACATGAGTGCTGTGAACAGAGCAGTAGAGCAGTAAAGACCTTTGCACTATCTGGAAATGACCAGACAGACAGGAGTAGAACCACTGAAACACAGTGTTCCCACTTCTGGGTCCATTGAGTCAAAATACCCTCTACTTTGGGATTGCAACTCTCATTATCACCAACTATTGACCATGTGAATGACAGCTGATGAGCATTGTCATAGAATAACTGAGTTGGAAGAGGCCTACGTATAAGGCCATTGAGTCAACCCCCTGCTCAAGGCAGGAATTCTAATCAAAGCAGATCTGACAGGTGGTTGTCCAAATTTCCTTTGAATGCTCCAGTATTGGAGTACTCGCCACTTCCCAAAATAACTGGTTCCATTCTTGTACTGCTCTAGCAGTTAAGAAGTTTTTCCTGATATTCAGCCTAATCTGACTTCCTGTAGCTTGTGTGTATTGTGATGTGCCCAAAGTACATCAGACTGGGAAAGTCCTAACATCCATGCTGAGGCTGCCTTGTCAGGAGCGGCTTGGGACTTCATGGCGGCCATGACAACCATGGGGCTGTCTCAATTTGTTGTAGGCCCGAACACACAAAAAAGGTCACACCTTGGACCTGGTCTTCTCAACGGGATTTGAAGATGGTGGTCCGGATGTGGAGATCACTTTCTGGTCAAGTTTAGACTATTGGCATCCTCGTTCCTCTGCAAGGGTGGGGGGATCTATTAAGATGATCTGCCCTTAGAGACTAATGAATCCAGAAAGTTTCCTGAATGCTCTGGGGGAATCTCCATCTGATATGGTCGGCGCTCTTGTCGAAGCGTCTCAACGGGATTTGAAGATGGTGGTCCGGATGTGGAGATCACTTTCTGGTCAAGTTTAGACTATTGGCATCCTCGTTCCTCTGCAAGGGTGGGGGGATCTATTAAGATGATCTGCCCTTAGAGACTAATGAATCCAGAAAGTTTCCTGAATGCTCTGGGGGAATCTCCATCTGATATGGTCGGCGCTCTTGTCGAAGCTTAGGTCACCTTGTGGAAGAGAGAGATGACCCGGGCGGTTGACACGATTGCGCCTAAGCGCCCTCTCCCCACCCGCAGAACCCGGATGGCTCCTTGGTATACATATGAGCTGCGGGCGATAAAACAAGTGGGGAGATGGCTAGAGCACAGGTGGAGGAAATCACACTGTGAATCTGACCAAACACAGCTTAGAGCCCATTATGAGGCCTACTCCGTGGCAATACAGCTGGCAAAACGACAGTATTTTGCCACCCATATTGCTTCCTCAGAATGTCGTCCAGCAGAGCTGTTTCGGGTGGTCCGTGATCTTCTCCGGCCGGGAGAGCCGGTGGAGACATAGGAACACTTGGCAGCTCACTGTGAGGAATTTGCGTTACATTTTGAGGGGAAAATAGCTCAGGTTTGCAGTGAACTGGACTCCACCACTGATGCAGAATCAGAAGATGAGTCCAGTGCGCCAGGCTTAGGTCAAATTTTAATGGATGAATTTCAGTTATTGAGACCCTATGATGTGGACAAGGTGCTTGGATCTGTCCAGTTTACCACCACTCCACTTGACCCTTGCCCATCTTGACTAATTGGGAAATCTGCCAGGGGGATTCATACATGGGTCCAGGAAGCCGTCAATGCCTCCTTGAGAGAGGGAGTGGTCTCTGCCACCTTAAAAGAGGTGGTGATTCTACCACTCCTTGGGAGTGGTCATCAGGAGATTTGGGCTGAGGAGTCAGCAATATGCTGATGACACTCAACTCTAGCTCTCTTTTTCCATCATTCCAGATGAGGCAGTCTCTAAACTGAACTCGTGTCTGGACCTGATAATGGACTGGTTGAGGGTTAATAAATTGAAGCTTAATCCAGACAAAATGGAAGTGCTGTTAGTGGGTGGTTTGTCGGACAGGTTAAATGGCCATTTTCTTGCCCTGAATGGAGTTGCACTCACCGAGGGACAGAGTCTGCAGTCAGGGGGTGCTCCTGGACCTCAGTCTGGCCCTGGAGGTCCAGGTGGACTTGGTGGCCCAGGCGTGCCTTCCTGCAACTGTGGAAACTGTTCCAGCTCCGGCCCTAACTGGACGAACAGAGCCTCATGACAGTCACACATGTACTGGTAACAACCCATTTAGACTACTACAATGCGCTTTATGTGGGGCTGCCTTTGAAGACAATCCGGCGACTACAACTGGTTCAGAATCAAGCTGCATGACTGGCAAGTGGAGGAGCTGCGAGAGAATATATTCAGCCAATTCTGGCAAGGCCACACAGGCTCCCAGTTGTTACCCGGGCCCAATTCGAAGTGCTTGTTTTGACATATAAAGTCCTAAACGGCTTGGGCCCTGGAT